CCCCAAAACCCCAAAACCCCAAAACCCCATGACATTAAATTGAGAATTATTTAGAATTTTATTCAAATGGTTATAATTTTAATTAAGGAAAATCTAAAAATTAATGTCAAGATCAGATATAAGTTTCACATATCTACTGCTTTTATTCATCTCAGCAGCTGTCCTTGTCACTACCTTTTACTATAAAGAAGAATCTCTTGGATTGCAACTTAACACGAATATCAACAAAACAAAAGCAAAGAATAATATTGGTCACGGTCCAAAGGTTATCGATAGAATAATAGCCAATCCAGAAGAATAAGACTAATCTCTAACAGCCTCTAGCACAAGCTACAAATTAGTAAACAATATAAGAATGGAGTAGAGAATCTTTACTCAAGGCCTTGAGTTTATCAACAATACACATTTGATTATTAGTGGAGGTCTTTATTAAAAGAGTTTCATTGGTATCTTAGGAATTGACTATACCAACGAAATTAAGATTGGTTAGGGGAATGAATTTGGAGCAGTACTAGTCTCTAGGAAAAATATCGATAATTAATATTTCGGTGAAGGTGCTACTATCTTTAAGGGATTAGTATATCAGCTAACATGGAAGTAAAGAAAGGTGCTTGTGTTCGGCTTGTAGGATTTAATTTTGAAAACAGAATATAGCATGCCTGCTGATATCAAAGAAGGATGGGGTATTACTCATGATAATGACTATCTTTATATAAGTGAGGGATCTAATAAAATTTTTGCTGTTCAAATTGTCAATGGTTAGCTTAAAGTTATGAAAACAATCATAGTCACATAGTAAATTGGATAGAATCTTGATATAAATGAGCTGGAATTAGTTGGAAATTACATATATGCAAACAATTACCAGACTAATAACATTTTAAAAATAGATAAAAACAGTGGATCATTGATGAAAACTTTCGATATGTCATAACTCTATGAAATAAACAGGTAAAGTGTGATAAGTAAGGGTGATAGCTTTGCATACAGTTGGATAAATAATGTGTTAAATGGCATTGCCTATAATAAAAATACAGGTAGATTTTTCATCACAGGAAAGTAATGGGATTTTATTTTCGACGTTGAGTTGATTGACTAGTGACTAGGCTGATGATTAAATATTAAAAATTGACTTTAATTTCATCATCAATTTTACAAATTTCAAATTGATAATATCAACTATCAAATTACTCTTTCGGGGTTTTGGGGTTTTGGGGTTTTGGGG